CAGTCCTCACCTCCTTCTACAGGTGTGCAGTGGAGAGCATCCTGTGCTCCAGCATCAACGTGTGGCATGGAGGCTGCACGGCTGCAGAAACAAAAGCTCTGCAGAGAGTGGTGAAGGCTGCACAGAAGACTGTTGGAGTCAGTCTCCCCACCATCACAGACATCTACACCTCCAGATGCAGGAAGAGGGTCACCTGCATCATGAAGGACCCCACTCACCCAGCACACACACTTTTTGCCCTGCTCCCCTCAGGAAGGAGGTTAAGGAGCATTAAGTGTAGAACCAGTAGACTGAGGAACAGCTTCTACCCTGAAGCTGTTAAACTCATGAATATCTAACCAGAATAATCACTGTGAAAAATCACATCATGTTGCTGCTGATCTGTTTCATGTTGCTGCTGATCTGTTTCATGTTGCTGTGTTCATGCATACTCATCTGCTCTCATGTTCGTGCTGCTGTTCGGCGTGTTGTTTTTATGCTACTAGTGCTTAGTGTATTTTTAGTTAACATTTTTTCTTAGTTCATATCTTAGATCTTATTACTGTTTTTCTTTTACATTTTATACTTTTGTTGGATGTAATTGGGACCCTGTTTACACAGTTTCGTTCCACCACATGTACTACATGTGGTGTGAATGACAAATAAAAAAACTTTGACTTTGCTTATGTGTCACGGATCACACCTGCTGTTTGAAACTCACACAAAAAATGTTTTCTATCATCTGTGTGTGGAAACTCGACCAACATTTTAGACAGCTTTGTATCAGATGGACAAAATACAAGAAACAAGCTGAGTTTTTGGGTGAGCCCATGATTTAGTTTGAATTTGGGAAGAAATGGGCCAAAACGCACAAAACTACCTAATGTATCAAGAAAGTATATAACCTGGGTCTCTGCTGGTTCATCACTTCGAGAATTTTACAAGTTCACTGACACGTGTACAGCTTACATATATTTAATATTTTGATGTAATTAAAAAAATAGATTTACATAATTTAAAGAAAATAATAAAAAGCTCAAGGTTCCAAATCTTCCATCTTACCCTGCAAAAGTCTCAAAGTAGCCTGGTTTAGTACATGAAACAAAAACAACATGCTGTGACTTCATGTCTGTTTTGATAAAAGCTAGAAACATTAGCAGCCCCTTCCATCTTATCTATGCATGGTGTCCCTCCCTACCATTTGTTGATTCGTACAAATACTTGAGTATCTTGGTCGATGCACCTCTCTCTTTTAAACCACATATTGAAAACTTGATAAAGAAATTTAAATTAAAAATGGGTTTCTTTTTCATTAATAGATCTTATTTAACTCTGAACGCTAGGAAACATCTTGTAACTGCAACTTTCCTTCCCTCCATCGACTACGGTGACATTATTTACATGAACGCTCCTGCAAGCACTCTGCAGATGTTGGATGCTGCCTATCATGGTGCGCTAAGATTCATATCTGAATGTAACTACAGTATCCACCACTGCACCCTGTATTCACTGGTTAACTGGACTTCATTAACTTCATGCAGACTCTTCCACTGGTACATTTTCATCTTTAAATCACTTCTTGGTCTGTTGCCTTCATACATCTCCTATGTCGTGTTGTCAGTGCAGCTACAGCGTGCGCTCTCAAGACATCATTACCTGCAGTGTTCCCTGAATGCAGACCAAACTAGGAGAAAGGGTCTTCTTTTACTCTGCTCGTTTCCTGGAACACCTTGCAAAAAGATCTGAAGCTCTTGACCTTGATCTCTCTAAGGGATTTTAAACAACTGTTAAGTTCAAGGCAAAAATCAATGCAGTCTCTCTTGTAAATGAGTCCTCGTGGCTCAATGACACTAACCTGTATAAATAAAGGTTGAATGAATTAGCATACATTTCAAATGTCACATTAAAATTTCCAACTATTTAACTTGCGCAAATATGAAGTTTGGTGTTGCATAAACCTATTCTAATGCTGTAGTTTTTTAGTACTACCTTTCATTCAACCTTAATTTAAACAGGTTAATCCCAGTGAGCCTCGGGGACTCCTTTACAAGAGACCTTTAGAGATAAAGAAAACTGTGCCTTTAAAATGACATGGCAAAACCGAACACTCACGATGTAAGACTTTACAGAACCCACGCTGCAACATCCAAGTCTAGTTATGAAAGCACACGTTTTGGGGAAACTCCTTTGTTCTGCCGTCTCACCAACACGACTCGTGGTAAAGCCCTTTGCACACCATCCTTTAAAACCACGACAAAAGAGCACAACTTCCTGTACAAACAGCAAAAACTTTATTTACACTTTCAAATTTTATTTAGTTAACAAATATATACTATGCACATATTTGCAAGGTAAACAGAGTTTATGTTACATGGATTGTTTGGGTTACAGTCGGACAGATCGGATATTTACACCCAATAAAGAACTAAACGAATCTTAAGTGTGGTTCACACTCAGAACATTATTATTAAATACTCAAAACATTTCACAAGAGGAGGAAAATCAGATCTGTGATCAATATTTTGTGGCTAACCTTTTTAAATTTTCCTCTGAGTAAACCAAATGTTTTATTGAAGATGAAGCTACTGTTTCCAGTGAACCGGAGCACCTGACTTCGAACAGCTCACGGCTACGAGAAGTATCATTTTATTTACAAACTACAAACGAGGCCCGTGGCTGTTTGGTCCGAACATTAAAAATACCAGATGAGCTGCATAGTTACAGAAAGGGAACTTTTCACCCCACATACAATCAAGTCAAAAGGGACAATTCTAGGATTTTCAATAAAGCTTTGCAGAAAAACGTCTTCACGTCACCACTAAAATGCACACGAGCCTCGAGACCAGGCGTGGAGTCATACAGCATAGAGATATCGGAAGTGAACAGTTATTGTTAAAGGCGTTTGGCTACACCCTAAAAACAGATGATCAGCAGAAAGAGTTTAAGGTCACTTCAGCTCAAAACGAGAGGATTAGTGAGTTCATGTAGCGCATGCCAGTTTGTACGAAGTTTTGTTGGATCAAAGCAGCACTGACAGTGAGAACTAAATAAGCCCTTGAATATCTCGTGTCCAGCCACATCTGCTCAGCGCTCGCTCCGTGGAACCTGCAGGCTGGAGCCACTCGTGTGTGTGTGTGTGTGTGTGTGTGCTGTCTGAAAACTAGTTCCTTACAGCATGCTAATAAAGATGACTCATCTGCATGGATGTGCAAACACACGGGTGACTTGACAAACAGCAGATAACATTTAATCTAGCTTTAGACGAAAACACAGTTTAAATAGATTTCACTTGTTACTAAGGGATAAGGCAGAAACTTGAGGGCTGGTATAAAAAAGGAAGAGCAGCCATTTGAGGGGTTGTTTACAGCAGGTGAAACATTCAAAGGAAACAGGTCCAAAGGTTGCTGAGAGATCAACACAACTATTTTTTGAATCAAAAACTAAAAGAGGCACTTAAATAGAACATGGAGAAAGATTAAAGGCTGAGTACACGAACAGGGTGCAGCGTGAGGCTCGTTAATGCTTTCACAAGCAGGAGGAGCGTGTAGCTGTGCTCCAAAATAATGATGTTTCAGAGAATATGTTCTGCTGCGAACCTTTAAACGACGATAAAGACATGACAATAACACACTGTGTGTGGTCTGAGAAGGTGAATGAACTGCAGATCAAGAAAGGCTCAAATCCAGCATTTCAGTATTGTTACATTATTTTGTTATAAAATATCAAGGCGCCTGCCAGTTTCCTGTGTCCCACTTGCATACTATAATCATAACTGCTTTGCATTCATTAACAATAAAAAGCGGAGCCGTTAAGTTCTGAGAGCCTAGCTCCATTTTTGAGCGAAACAAGAAATGTTCAACGATGAGGATAAAACGACAAACACAGACGCTGGTTCAGGTGAAAACAAAACTATCAATAGTTCAGTTTCATTTTCACAATATCTTTCTAACGACGCACAAATCTTTGGAGGCATTACAAACCGTTTCCAACCCAACACTGATACACAGTGTACACACAGTATTTACATACAGTACACAAGTGGGACGTGGGGATTGTTTTACCCAACTAGACAGCTGTGACCAGAAAACGACAATTTCAGTAAATTTTTAACATTAAAACACGAAAGACTTAAACAATTTCTCCATTTTTTTTCTCTGGTTTCATTCACAATGTATTGCTTTAGTCACATTCACTTTTTAATTTGTGCTTTAACTATAACTTTAGATGTTTTTTCTATATACAATATTTAAAATATATTTTTTATATGTTGAGATCATTTGTAATTCTGAATGTTCCTTTATCCTCTAATCAAACATTTCCACACAATAAATAATTAAAAATGCAAAAAAGGTTTCACTAATTTGAATTCACTGATGTGCAGTCCCACCACATCTGATCATTATCTAAAGAGTTTTTCACGTTCATAATGAACATTTTTAGACTATTTCCAGTTTAACTTGAAAATGAAAAGACAACTCAGAAAGAAACTAATGCCGATTAGCATCTTGCTGAAAACAAATAGTCCTACAGGTTTAGCAGTAGTGAGTTGACTGACCTCTGTGCTGTTTTTGCCAAAGTTCAGATAGAAATCTAAACTGGCTAACAAAAAGGGGGACTGACTGTAAAAAGACAATTCTCACTTCTTTCCTTGAATATGGGCATGAAAGTCAAAATTGTTAACAACAAATAAATAACAGATTGCACTTTGTAATCTCCAAATCTTTTTTGTTTGAATTTTCAAACCTATCTCTGTTTTCAAAGATAAAACACAAATTTTAATAATCCACCGGTGTTCCACATGAATGCTACATTAATCAGCTTATCAGCATTCAAGGACTTTCTCATGCCTACAAATGATGGCACAGTCAATCCCATCAACATCTACTCCTCCTCAAGCTGGCGGTTACAGAACGACCAGTTCAAAAGGTGAGCACGGAGACTCGATGAGGGTCAGGTTTAGGGAGGCTGGATTGCTCAGGAGGCATTCTGTGTGTCAACACAAATTCAGACTACGAGTCACTAAATGAATGCTACAAACAGCGTTACAGCTCGTTCAGGTGAGAAAACTTGACGTGAAGGCCTCGGAGGGTTGCTGATGGAAAATATGCGGGTGGAGAGCAGAGGTGCATGTGGTTGTTTGGATTTCACAGCGATGAGGAAAGACGGGGATTGAAGAAGAAGCTGTACTTTAACATATACGCCGTCAGGAGAGCAGGTCTTGTTCGGCTCTCTTTTCAGAAATGAGTGTGAAGGCATTCGCAGTGTCCTTCAGTAAAGCGTCGAAGATGCTGTCGGCCAGCTGCAGCTTGACGAACAGCTCGTCTTCATCATAGTTTACCCACTGGGCCTCCTCCTCGTGGAGCTCCTGAACCTGACAAACCAAAAAAAGGTTTACTACAGGAAGCAAATGATGACTACACGGAATCACTTCAAAATATGTTTTTTTTTTTCTTTTATTAAAGTAAAAATCATAACTTCATTGTTTGTTTCCCTACAGAGAAAATGAACAGCTTTCAGCTGGTTAATAGTTATTATTCACATAAATCAATATGACGTTACAGCTTTAAATGTATCTAGATACATCACATAAAATAGATACAATCATCTACATTACAAGTTGTATCTTGAAAACAAAAACGTGATATTTGATGAAGAACTGCTCGTTTAAGTACAACACTAAAAAGTCAAAACATTTATTTTGATCCCTACCAGAATGTGATCAACTCTGTCCCGCTTCTTTCTGCCAAACTTGAGCATCTTCTGCCAGTCTGACTTCTGGTTCTGATCTTCTGCCAGATCGTACAGTTTCAGCACTTCTGCTGTGACAAACTCCTGTTTGACAAAACAAATTAAAATAAAGTTTTCTGTCATTTTAGCTGTAAGACTAATCCATTTACATTAATGTAGCATACATGAGTATCAGCAATATATCAAAACTTTAATAAGCAAAGGAGAAAACTGGAGAGATTTGGTTACTTCTGTTAGAGCATTTTAGGTGATTTAAAATATACAGATGACCCCAAATACATTTGTATAGTTGAACTAAAGCTTATTTTCTTATTAAATCTCTCTGAGGTTCATGAGCATGGCAAATACAATTTAAATAGAATGTAGTTAAACCAGTGTAAACTCATCCATTGCAGCTCTAAAAGATTTTCCACCAGTTGTTCACTCAATAGTTAAAAGACAACTGCGCCTGTTTAAAGGAGGAAAAAAGGATTCCTACAAGACAGCAATATGAAATATGCAGAAACAGAGATACGATGCATCCGGTCTCATTTGTTGCAGTACTTGTTTTGGGAGATAATGGGGAGAAATTAAACTTGACTGCAATCAAAGCAAAGTCAAATATGGTTGGAATGTCAAAGTTAGAAGTTTTTTTATTTTTTTTATTTTTTAATTATGTCAGTAAACCTGATCGTTTATGATTTATAGAGCCTTAAACGCTGTTAACAAGTTCTGGATGCAAAAATCTTGGAAAAACTAACAAAAAACACAAAAGAAGGAAGTGTTGGTCAAAAACAGTTTTTCTCTGCAGAACTTTACCTGAATTTTGTTGAGATCTCCAGACGTCTTGACTTTGTGGACTGAGGAGGATTTGACTTGACGTGGTTTGACCCACTGAGGTTGATCGGTATCGAGGTCTTCAGTATAGATCTCCTGAAGTATCTCCCATGTTAAGTCATACACAGCCTACAAAAAGAAAAGGCAACAAAATGAGGCTTGAATGCAAGATAGTAAATAAAACGAGAAAATAAAATAAATCAAATACACATTACTCCGTTTGTAAAGCAGATTTTGTATCACATATTTTTAAATGGTTTCCAATGCTTTATTTTTTACCTTTCTGTAACTGCGAATGGAGATGGCCTCCTGGTCTTGACTGCTGGACTCTTTATAGAAATATTCTAGTGAAGGTGTAGGGTTTGGCAGGTGTTCAAGAGCCAGAGCTCCCTCCCTCCCCAGGTCGCAGGTCTCCCAGATCTCCTGTGTGGCAGCGTAGACCATTTTCTTCACCTCTTTGGCTGAGTGGGGCACGACCATGGCAGGCTGCTCAGGAAGTTTAGGAGGTAATGGGAGGGGGAGCTCAGGTCTAGGTGGAGTTTTCACCTGCGGTTCCCCTCCTAATGATGAAATTATCCCCCCCATATGTGGTCCAGATGATGAGGCAGACCTTCCAAGATCACTTTCCAACTTTGCCTCCTCTTCTTTCTGCTTGATTCTCTGTTGTTTTCTACGTGAGCTGAGGCCAAAGTCTTCATCAAACCAGTCCTGATCATCACCGAACTCGTCTACCAGCTCACGGCTCAGTTCGAGCTCCGCAAGACGTTTGGCAAGTTCTTCTTGACCACTGGCTCCCAACATAGGACTCTCCTGTTTAAATAAATAAAGAAAACATGACTTTCATTAAGATTTTAAATATGTATTCATTAAAATACTTGCATTTTACCAACACAACTTTGTTTTATTTTATTTACATATACGGTATTAGACTTGAGTCTAAAAAAGTTTCTTATGTCTGTTTAAGCTACAAAAGCTTTCAGCAATGATCAACAAATTCAATAGTCTGTCAAAATAAGGTTGGACTTTGACTGTCCACATCCCAACAAGTCCAGGTTAAATAAACATGCTCTGTTTGTCAGGAGTTCATATCACACCCATCATTACTGAAATCATAATTGCAGCTGTCAACAGTTAATTATTCAGATATAAAAAAGAAACACTCACTGGTCTGTTACACAGTTCTGGAGAGGACAGCTCTTCTTTTTCAGAAGGAAGAAAGAAGGGTAGGCCATCTTTTTGCTCTATTGAAGAGATCCAGTTTTCTTCATTATTTTCACTGAAGAAGCCTCCATTCAACTGGTGGGCAGTTTTAATCTTCTCCGCTTTGACCTTTTTTATATCAGCAAACTGCTCAACAGTGTCTTTCACAAAGTTCTTGATAAGTGTGTCTGCAAGTGTGTCCAGCAAATCCCTGTCCTTTGGTTTACTCTTATCATCCTTGATGTCTGTGGAAAGATCAGCAGCACTCGACTGTTTCTGGAAATCTTCATCATTTCTCACAATGATAGCTGTTGTCTCCTTGTTGGTCTGCTTCACCAGCCCACTATTCTCCCCATCTAAAATGAGGAAAGTGTGTGATGCATCTTCTAAATCTAAAGCGATGTCTTCTGTGTGGCCTTCAGAAATCAGAAGTGTGGACTCTTTATGATGCTGTGAATTTAAATAGGATTTATATTCATGCAGAGCCTGATTCTTCTCATCCACAACCTTTGTATCTCTAGATCTATCCTCTTTTAGAAACGCGTCCTCATTTTTGCTTTCCAGGTCTCCTTGTTTTGGGGAATTATCTTGAATATTTTTTTGTTTATTCCCACATTTATCGAACAAATCATCATGGAATGAGTCCTCATCTTCTGTGGTATCAGCATAATGTTCATACTTGCCTGGGAGATGTGCGATTTTGTCTGGAGGAGCGAAGATACCATGGCACTCCTCACACTTAAAATATACAACCCCATCATATGTGCCGTTATTGCTCCCCTCAGACTTGTCTAACTCCACACCTGCCCAGAAGCCATTGGCAAAACTGGTTGGACCTTTAAACCTAAGCGTGCCAGGCTGAACACCTCCAACAAGAACTCGGCTTCCAATGTCAAAACTTGGCATTTCGTCTTTCACAGGAGGAGGAGAGGTTTGCAGAGAAGAGTAAGTGCCCTTATTATCATGTTTTACATCTTCCCTTTGTTGGTTGAGATCAAGCAGTCTTTCAGACAAGTGGCTTTTATCACTTACACCAGATTGTCTGCTCAACTCCTCCTCTATTTCCTCCTCTACCACCTCTTCTTGGTTGTCACATGTGGGCTCTCTGCTTGAGGAATCCTTATTGGAAAACTTGATTGAAGTATGTGAGAAAGAGATTTGAGACTCAGGCTTGAATTTATTCTCTTCTCTGGGAGAAGAACATGTTGACTCAAAGTCATCATAATAACCATCTGCTATAGGAGAAGTTTCACTGTCTTTGTCTTTTGTCTTCTTATTTGAAAAGAGGGCTGCTGAGTCAGGGGAGTGAGTGTGGTCATTGACAGACGAGTACTTCCCATGTGGAAAAGTATCCAGGTCCACAGCAGATGAATGAGGCTCACCAGAGGTGATACTATTTGCCAAAACAGCTTCCTCCACTTCAGATAATAAGCTGTGTTTTGCTTGTGTATCCTGTTCAGGCCTAACAGATAAAGAATGCTGAAGTTCTTCATCCAGGACAGAGGAAACATGTTTAGTCGAAGATAAACTCGCCTGGGAGTTAAGACTGTGTTCCTTTTCAAGTTTAAGAAGATGGCGAGAATGTTCATCTTCAGACTTGGAGCTTACTTCCACTTCCAGCTCTTCCTCAATATTAGCTCTAAGGTCAGTCACATTTTTCGGTTCAGACTCTGCCTTAGATGAAGGTCTTAAAGGAGACTCTGCATCATGCATCTTCTGTTCAAGCGGACCATTCTCTGGTCTGCTATGAACAGACACCCCTGGAGTAGAAGGCTCCTCTTTACAAAACAAGTCTTCAGGCAAAGCTTCAGAAGATGTGCTGTGCTTAGCCTGATGGGAGACATCTATTGTAACAGAAGAGGTGCATAATCATTAGGGCACATTTGTGACAGTGCTGTCCGAATAAATAAAGTATGCGATGTACTGTACACAAAAGTTAATAAATCCACTCACTGCGATTGAATGATGCATCAATTAGTGTCTGGTCAGAGTCAGAACTCTTTCTGGTTTCAGACCTAAAAATAAAAAAGTAATTTTAAACAGACCACCTAACATTCTAAACTTATGTTAATAATTTCAGACATTAACTGGGACAATACTATATATAGTACTATAATATAGTATTGTGATTATAGCTATTTTCTGTACCTGTGTGGAGGAGGTTTGATAGATGACTGCTCCAAAATAGAGTTGGAAACATTGATTTGTGAACTGGTATCAGAGACCGAGCCCAACTCTTTATTCAGTTCAGCCTTTGTTTTCTCAATGAAGTTGTTACAGTTCTAAAAATAAAACAGCAGGCAAAAAGTTAAAAAATAAAATATATAATTACGAGATTATGGATAAACAGTACATGAACAAATAGAGCGTCATTAGTTAAATAAAACGTTTTATTGTATGTTCAAACAACCTCTAGAGGTGTTAAACATTTACCTGAAGTTGTTTTAACAGGCTCGCCTCCTGTGCTTTCAGACGCTCCTTGTGACGCTTCTTCTGCTCTTTTTTCAGCTGGTAGGCCATAAGCTTTCGTTTTCTTAGCTCCTCCTTAAGTGCCTTGATCCGACTTTCGATGTTACTCTGGTCTGAGATGTTTTCTGTCGGAAAATAAAAATAATAAAACTACAGCTAGAATGTGGAATCAGTGCCTGATCAATGTGTAGAAACAGATAATCCCACACTTAGCCCACTCGAACTCAAGAACATTTTTTAGGGTATTACTGTACATTTTCTTTACCAGGAGTGTGACACAATGAACAGAGAGAATTAACAAGCTAATCAGTTTATACTGTGGTATGAAAATGAATGAAACATACAACTACAACACTAGGCCAACAAAACGTCAGTAGTATGATAACTACGTATATTGCAGTTTTTGTCTCTTCTATCACACAGCTAAGCAAGTTATGCATCAGTAAAGTGCTTGCATAATGTACTTCTGGCAGCAACGCATCAGGCCTCACCACACAGTGCCAACAATACAGCTGCATTATGTCCACTCTTTTTTTTTTTAACCTCTCGCATCTTGTCAAATTTCATTCATTTTATTTCATGTATTTATTTAAAAGGACAGTGCACAATAATCAATATTCCAACAGAATATAAATGCCCTGGAGTTAGTATAATGGCTAATTTTATCTGTTGTCCTAGATACTATATGTAACAATTTTACTCTGCAAAAAAATGTGCATGTTTTTCAGAAGTAACTCACCAGACTGGGTGGCTGTGGGGGAGTCAAGAAGCTGAGTGATAACTTCACTTTGTGTCCGGGAGGCAGAATGAAGTTGCATCTTTGTTTTATTGCTGCCCTCAGCGAGAGAAGCAGCAGGGCTGTGGCTGGCTTTGAGGAGAGAAGGCTTGAAAGAACAGACACAGGGCGGAAGGATGGAAACACAGAGACTTTTTACTACAGGAAATTGCATCATAGACAGAGAGATCAAAGCAATGTATCCATTAATTATTTATGTACACAGGTAAATAATAAGTCTTCAAAACGCCTACGGTTGCTTTTACAACAAACACAAAACATGAAAAGAATATGAAGCCATTTAAATGAACATTCTTGCCTGCAAAAGAAACTTCTCTACAAGGTCAGAAATCAAGCAACTACAAACAAGTTTAAAATGAACAGCAGTGACGTTCAAACTCAGAAGTTTAACGACATAAAAACACAAAAAGGTAAACTTTTATTTTTGTCATACCTTACTGCTGGGTGGCTGTGACTCTGAGGAGAAGTCCTGGGTGTAGTTTGCAGGACAGCTTTGGACTGGGGACAAAGGCGTTTCAGAAACTGAATCAGGTTTGGCTGAAGGACTTTCCACATGCTGAGAACCTGGTCCCTCTGTGTGGATGGTAGACTTGGATGTCACCGAGGAACTGCTGCACTCACTCACATGATCTGAAAAATATACAAATTAACATTTTTATTTTTAAATATTTATAGCAGGTGGCTCAGTTGGTGGAACTGCTGCCTCTCAGCGAGAAGGTCGCCGGTTCAAATCTTGGCCCAGGACCTTTCTGGATGGAGTTTGCATGTTCTCTCCGTGCATGCGTGGGTTTTCTTCAGGCACTTCAGTTTCTTCCCACAGACCAAAAACATTCATGTTAGGCAGATTGGTGACTCTAAATTGTCCCTAGGTGTGAGTGAGAGTGCGGGTAAAGATAATGGATGGATGAATATTTATATCAACATTATTGCCAAACCATGTGTTGTGTACCTGTACTGAAAGGAACTGTGCAGTTGACTGAAAACACTGTACCCCCCCCCCCCCCCGCAAAAAAAAAAAAAAATTCCTGCTTTCACATAATAAACAATATCCAGACTTTGTTTTAAATAACTTGTTTTGTTCCAACATTGTGCATACCTAACTTTAAGCTTCTTTTAATTTTTTTCCCTCCTACTTTAAGATGGGAGCAGCTTGGAATAAACTTGTATAGCAAAACCCTAGAGCCTTACCTTTCTCACTGTCAGAATAGGCCCCAAAGCTCTGGTGTTGACTTGTGTGTGAGCCAATTTCAGAGATATCCCTCCCTTGACTCTCAGACGTTTCTTGATGCTCATCTTGAGCTCTCTTTTGTTCCCACACAGCCAAGGCTTCTTTCTCCATCCTACGGACCTCTGCCTCCTCCTGGTCCAGCCGTTGTTTCCACTGTAACAGCTCTTCAGCATGGTGACGTCTTTGCATCAGCTGCTGCTCACGCTTAGTAAGAAACCTGCAGAGTTGGATGGTAAAAACAAAATGCAAAAGAACAGAAAAATGAAGAGGAAGTGAATCAATAGATTAAGAAAGGAGATGAAGAGCGGGAAAAAAAAGGACATGAAGATGAAAATAAAACAAAGAACAGATGTAGTAATAGCAAAAAAAATAAAAAACAGGAATGAGGGAAAAAGAAGAGGCAAGACAAATATATCAAGCATAAGATGTTATAGAGGACCTTGTAGAAGGGAGAAAACCCAAATCACCATGGTATTCAGTTATTACTGTAAACTTAACTCAATCTTTGTTCAACACACACATCCAAGACAGGCGTAAAATAGTCATCCAAATAGTCATGTACAAATTCCCATAAAATAAAAAGTGATGAAATGTTACTCAAAAAAGGAGGAGGAAAAGAGAGAGAAGATGCCAGAATCATGCTTCAAACTCAAGCCCAGGGTTGAGTGTTGAACATGAACATAAATGCACTCACACACAAAACCTCAATTTTATTTAGGAATAAAAAATAAAATAAACAATAAGAGCATTACCATAGATTTGATTGTTTTCAACTATTGCATTTCCTTACAATGAGATTGTCTTGCAAAGCCAAAAATGTCCCTTTCTTCAATTTGTTTCTTCATATTACATTTAACATATTTCAGTAGATGTTTGTAAAAAGTCAAGAGAAAAAGGCAAAGCTGTTTTTAATTAGTATGTCACACAGCTGTAGGTGCATTCTAACAGAATCATTCAGTCTTGATCTAATCTAGAGGCCTTTCTATGGTCTAATGCATACTGATGACAACTTGGACACTAAAGAATGAGACTGTGTAGTCCCTTCAGCATCTTCCCAAACTCTATTACAGCCCAGTGACCATCAGTACTCATTATCCTAACCTTTGTAACAGTTACATAATAAAGAGCTAGGTAAGATTTACAGTCTTCATTAAAGAGATGACACTATAGCTTTGGTCTATTCTCTGCAGAATCATTTACTTCCATTCCAAAGTGCATATATGGTATTTTATTATTTTTTACTTTAAAACGTTTTATGCGAATAATGATCCAAGCAGAACAGCTACAACATAGCAAGTTACTTGAAAACTGTTTTTATAATTTATTCAAAAAGAGTAAAAATAAATACAAAAATAGTTGCAAATAAAACTAACTTTTGTGAAATCCCAGCTCTGAGTCTGAGATTTTTTATAAAACAAGGAAGGCCCTTCCTAAATAAACATAACCTTTGAATATTACAAAATATGACGTTTCTTTCCAACTTCAAAGATATTATATAACTCACTGACAACACTGATATTCCAAATTAGTATAAATATAATTAATAAAAAATTAAATATTTACTTATTTCAACTTAACAGCTTTTCTTGAGCACCTTTTCAGCTTACAATTAACATTAACATAAATATCCCATCAGAAACGTGCATTCAATCAGGCATCAAACACCAGTCCACCCCCACAATGTCCCAGTCCCAGTGCATAAAAACAAGCATGTTCCATGGGGTGGGGGAAAGCAGGGTTTAGGTGGAGAAATAGAGAGAACTGTACGGTACCTGACCAACTGGTTGTAGATAAAGAGCTGGAATTTAGGGTGAAGGTTGGGAAGACAGACACTGAGGGAGGCCCAGTGGTGGGCCGTGAACACAGAGAAGAAGTAGTGGACAGGGGAACAGTGTCTACAACACAGAAGCACGCAACAGATAACGTCAACAGAGCCACACAATCATGGGGTTGGACAAATAATGCACGTGCGCGCACACAGGCACACACACCAACATAGTGCAAAGAACACAAGAGACAGAGGGAAAAGACATAGAAAGAGAGAGAGAGAAAAAAAGTGATATGAGAAAATGTGGCTTAATTCCCCCCAAGGTTTCAGGCTGGCTTAGAAAAGTCTGCACAAGCTGCCGTTTAGAAATTGTGACTTTTCCCACTATTAATAAAAGATCATTCAAGTCCTTTAGTAAACATTTAACCTATCTACAATACTGATTGTAATCAGACCAATAAAATGTGCTACAACCTTAAGTTTTTTTCCTACTGTATATGCCATGAGTACAACAGTATCAAGAGTCGTGAGCATTTACCAGGTCACCCACTAAACTTCACCCAAATAATGCTAGATGGTGGTGGCTGGGTTTTAAAGCCACCTTTGTTAATGATCTTTGTTTAATTAAAAATGTAAATGAATTTTTTTTTTAAAATTGTGTTTTTATTATTATTATTATTATTTTAATTATATGTAAATTGCATGTATGTTTGTTGCTACTGAACATGTTGTGTAAACTCAATGCAAACATTTAAAAATATGCACTAGAGGTGAATCCAAACTGAAAGTTAAGTATTTAGGAACACAAATAATCAAGTATATATTATTCACCATCTCCAGTTATACACTAAGTGCAGCTGTTGACTGATGCACTCTGCAACATATCAATTTCTCAAATAAGCAAGAAAAAACTGACACTCTCCTAAAGTGCTTCATTTTACTCTGATACTGTCGATATGATGACAAAGGCTTTAAATTTAAAATACAGCCAAGTGGGCTAATATATTTTATGATTACAGTTCTACACTTATTTCTTCTTCTTTCGGCTTTTCCCTATTCAGGGGTCGCCATAGAGAGTCATCCTCCTCCATCTCACTCTGTCCTCACTCCAACGACCTCCATGTTCTCTCTAACTGCATCCATATATCTCCTCTTTGTCTTTTTCCTGGCAGCTGCATTTCTAACATCCTTCTACCAACATACCCACTGTCCCTCCTCTGGACTCGTCCAAATCATCTCAGTTTGGCCTCTCTAACTTTATCTCCCAGTTGTTCAACCTGTGCTGTACTTCTGATGATACAGCTACATGACTACATTCTACACTGAGGGTGCAAAAAAGACCAAATACTTTTATGAAAACTGAAAAGATTCCTGTGATACAAATGTTTCTAAGTTTATATAAAAAAAGGCAAACTTGAGCACAAGCACACATGAAATGTAAAGTACTGAAACTATGATCAAATGAAATAGAATATGGATAAATGATAAATTAAGACTAGAATCTACAACTCATTCATAAACCTGTCAAAATCACAACCAAATATTTTACAAGGTAAATGAAAATCTTTACTTTTCATCCATGTGAGACCGCATTTTCTTAAGCTTCTGCATAATGCTGCTGGTCTCACTTCCGGAGATGGACAGCGAGGGAGAAGGGCTGCGCATTTCAGCTTCAAGCCTTAAGTTGTTAGGGGAGGCAGGTTCAGACCCTGTCAGTTCTGACACAGGAGTCTCCTAAAGACAAAACAAGCAAACACAGAGAATAATAATTTATAAAGTATTTATTTTCCCTCTTTAGCTTTGTGCCCTATTTTTCAAGTACAAATCATGCAGGACATTTGTGGAGGATAACTGTGGTATTTACAGGTGGAGTTTGTCCCCCAGCACATTTGAGACGCTCCTTCAGTCTGAGTGTTGAGTTTCTCATCCGTTCAATTTCCTCCTGCTGTTTCAGCAACAACTGTCTTTCTTTTCTAGCCGCTTTGTTGGCTTCCTGGAGACGCTTGATCTCAGCCTGAGTAAAATAAACAAAAAAAGATTGGTTGCAAATGGGTAAGATCACAATATGACCCAAAACTAAACTGTTACATGATGCAATTATTTTTATCCCACACTTTTTTGAGTACCTGCTCCTGCTGTAGTTTAATAAGAAGCCCCCTCTGCTTCTTTCGGATGGGTGGCATTTTATCATCCTCCCCCTTATCTCGAAACTTCTTTTTCTGGTGCTCAAGCCAGGCTAGCTCTGCTCTGGTTTTTTCCTTTAGGGCCTTCTGGCGAAGATGCAGCAGAGAGCTCTGGTGCTGCAGTCTAACCTCCTCATCCTTCATGTACTGACGCACCATTTCCATAGTGAACTGAGAAAAGCTGTCTTGTCCACCAGAAAAGGCTATATGTGCATTGTGGAACTACAAGAAAAAAACATGTTAAAATTATAAACAAGGAAAAAGAGTGGGAAAACAAAACAAAGTAGGAGTTCAAAATAGATACATATTTAATGTGAAATGACCCTTCACCTTAGAAGTACTGTGTGACCCTGTTTCTGACATCAATGCTGAATTATGAATGGCTCCATCATCTTCTGCTTGGACGTTGTGGTGCAATTTCTTCTCCATGGTTCCACGGCGATGGGCCTCAGACGGAAGCAGAGAGCGGAAAGAGCGCTCCTCTATCTCGTCCTCTGTCATGGATTCTTCAAACTTAAAAGAATACTCTGTAGCCACTGACGTAGTGTCTAACAGAACAGCAACAAGATTAGCTCACAGACAACTGTAACGTGTTACAGTGTTTCTAGGTGTGGTATCTTATTTAAAAGTTTTGCCTTTTCTCAAAGGCCAGTATTTATTATTATGCTGTTTTAAACTCTGAAGAGATACAGTAACCTCTGAGTAATAAAAATACACATAGGAAGAAATTTAAATTGTGGACTGTTAAAGTCTGAGCTTGCTTGCCATGCAGTACCTTTCTCATCCACTACAGAGTGGATACTTTCACTGCAGAGTGAGCCATTTGCTGCTGATGGAATGTCCTCCTCAATTGAGCTGCTTGCTGCTTCCCTTTCCAGCCTTTCCTTGGCAATCCCATTACTCGGCTTCCCTGAAGATGCCTCTTTTTTGGGTTGTTCTCTGTGACCAGACAAAATGTAGGATGGGCTGTGGAGGCTGCTACTAGGGACAGACACACTGAAGAAAGAGAAAAAGACAAAATCAGTCACAGTTTTTTGCTTACTGCTCCCTAAACGTAATGGAAAATAGTAAATGAACAAGTACCTGAGGTTCGGCCTTCTGCAAGACAGTGAGTCAGACAGACTAGGGCTGTGTAATGGAGATAAGGGTTCTTCAGATCTGGTCCTTTGACTCGAAACCTCACTTTAAAGGTTGTAAAACAAACAAACAAAAAATACTGGTACTTGTGACAAAACATTTAGGTAAAAACTAATTTAGTTTGCATCATTTACAAAATTAAAAAGGCTGATATGACCTTTCTTCAAATAATGCTGTAGTATGAATAATTTTATAAGCTATGCAGACTTTTTTTCCTAAATCAAAGTACAGATGCTTATTGCATTTACTAGATCGTCTTTAAGTTGCAATAAATGAGGCAACAAATGTTAGGATCAAACTAAAACAGTAAAAAAAAAAGTTATGATCAAAATATACCTGTCAGAGTCAGCATTGTTGTCTTGTGGTTTTGAGTTCTTGTGTTCTTTCCGCTGATCCATTAAAGCAGAATCAGTGTTAACAGGTGGGATTATCGAAGTTCCTGCTATCTGGGACCGTGCAAGTTCTGTCATCTGAAAGACAACATGATACAAAGATCCAATATTTGATTTGGTAATTTATTTATCGTTTTATTTAACTTTTTTTTGACCTGCCACTGATTGTTCCTTTAGTTCACTGACTCAACAATCAGCTTTTGATTTAAAATTAAAGACACAAGTTGTTTCCCAACTTCCCAAGCAGAAAGGAAGGAAGTTATTATTAACCTCTTTAATGTGTCGGGCAGCTTCTGCTGTGTGTCTTGTTGCTTCAGCCTGTTGACTCATCATCTTAGAAGTTGATTCCTGGAGGACTTCCAAAGACTCCTTTTGTGATGCTGCCAAGCTTTCCTGTAGTTCTATATGAGCCTGGACCAAAACCATACAACATATTATACAAATAACAATACAATCATTCATACATGGAAATTAATAAAGCAACAAAATTAAATGTCTAAAAAACATAATATTAATGAGAAATGTGTGTACCCTGGCAACTCTCTGCCTATTTTCTTCCAACTGCAGCTTTGTTTCGAAAGCTTCTCTTTCAGCCTTGATCTTCAACTCATAAAGTTCACGCTCATGGTGCTGCTGCTTGGTCTGCAGGGGGACAGTTAAAAGAACAAATGCTTTAAGTATTTGTAATAAATCTGCATACAAAAAATCCCAATGCAGAAATCACCTTTACTACACAAAAAACAGCAATATTAAGCGAAAGCAAATAAAACTTTTCATTAACAAACTCTCAGCAGCTTGTGTTGAAATTTTTATATAAAAAATATAGTTAAATGCCAAGTTATGTGCAAAATATTGAAACATCCCGCATCAATTGTAAAGAACATTGTCGAAGATGTCTTAACTTCTACAACAAAGCTTTGAAACATTACTTCATTACAACTACTTTGAGACAATAATATTATTTTTACTTTAAGCATTTGAGCCAACGATGCACTCTCCAGTTGTGCCATGGAGACACCCATCAGTCTCTCTATGTCTCCTATCTGCTTGTAGGACTCCTCGATGGACTCCAGGTACTGGAGCTCTGCTGTCATTCGTTGTTGCAAAACAGCAGGTGAATATTGCAGCTCCCCTAAGAGAAAGACAATATAAAGTTAGAGACTTCAGTGGTGTTGTTTATTAACAGTGCAACTAAAATTACAAACCATATAAATTGCATTAATGTACCTGTGGACCTAGACCCTGCCACACCATTGTAAATTGGGGTGTTGATGTTTGGATTATTTACATCAAGAGAGCCACTTTTAAAAGGGTCTCTGAGAGAATCCGTTTCCTGAGATGTAGGCTCTGGAGAGCCAGGCGGAGAAGCCCTTCTTGGTCTGTAAAAAGACAAACAGAAAAAAAATGTATAAATTGTCATATACTTTAAAACTGGCATCTAAAGTAACTGTCCCTGTAATTACTTAATTATGATTATCAGTCCTTGTTATCTGTCATATATAAAGCATTATTTAAAAACAATTTATCAAAAGCTAATGGCCAGTGATAATACAGGCATAACATTAAATAGTAAATAATCCACACTTATTTAAATGCCTTTTACACCTCATCCAGGTTCTCCAGAAATGTTAAGTGTCCTGTTGAGGGACACTTTGGAGCTGAGGAACGAACACTCGATCTTCCAACTGGAAGATAACCTCCTTACTATGGGGCTAAATCATACTAAAACATATCCTGTAAACTGTTTTTGTCTTAGCAAAGAAAAAAATACTTCTTGACTATAGAGAAAAGGAGACACTCCTGTCTGAATGTAAGGCCTTTACTGTGCAGGACACACAGATACCACAAAATCTAAAGAATTTGCCACCTGGGCTTCAGAGTATCACCAGGAGGCTCAGATTACACCACTTCAAACTTAGATTTAAAGGAACAAAAAAACCCTTTTTTCATTTGGCCTAAGGCCGAAGCTGTGATAAAGCCAACAGACCCTTCGAGAGAGAGAGGGTCTGTTGGCACACTCAGTGGGCCCTTACAACAAAACACCCAGTGTCTTCTGCTCTTGGGTTTAACTGCAGCTTGATTGTGTTGCTTGGCACAAGCTGCATGGATGTTTGAGCACTCAGCACCAAGACACAAGATTGTTTACTGGCGGCTCTAACTGGGTGCCTTTTAAGAGTAGCTTAGTACTTAGGTGGGTCTAGATAAGATTGTGAAATGGCTAAGACAGTTTAGATGATCAGTTTATGAAAAAAAAACTTAGGAAATAGAACATTTTTTAATGGTATTAATTAAGAGTGTACATAAAACAGACTTTTCACTGCCTGATTTAAATACAAGCACTTAACTTACAAAAATGAGCTTGTAAAATATTGTAACAAAGACTTTCCTAAAGTTATAATATTTATAGCTCAGAGGATAATGTAAACTCCCACTGTCTTAGCTCCATCTCATTGGTAAACTATAATTAGAGACGTTCTCTTGCCCTTTTCTCTCCTCTGCACAACGGCAAGCAACACTGGTAATGTGGACATTGTTGCATATACCAATAAAATATTTAGTATTGGTCTTTTTAAATTCAATGTATTAAAATGAATAAATTCAACATTCAGATATAACACTAATATTTTACGATTGATATGATGTACAACCTACCAGGGAGAAGTATAGAGAAACCTGGAAAAATGGGTATTTTTTTTATTTGTGGAAGCATTTACTATTCAGACATTGTTCTGTTTTTCAAAAAGAAAAATACTCAGGCCTTCTATGTAGATAAAATGTTTACCTTACACAAAACTCAAACTAGCTCTATCAAACTGAATTTTTAAAGCCATCTGACCAGGGTTATTACCTTTGAGGAGAATGTCCTGATGCTTCGCCTGATGAATCAGAGTGCACACTTTTGACCTGGGTAGGGCTAGACCTTTTGTCTGATCTTCTCTTTTTGCCATTTGAAGATAGAACTTCTGAAGGAGAGCTTCTCTGTTCTTCAACAAGAGTTGTGTCACTCTGGTCTGATGTAGTTCCTACAAGAGGAAAAAACGTTTTAGAAAACAGAACTTTACACTCTAAAATATTAAATGTGACTTGTAGGGTTACATTGTATTGCATTAATCATACTGGTATTTAAATGTATTCTGACACAACATGGAATCACAATTCAGTCAAACCAGGACTTCATGCAATGTCATTAATCTCTCACCTTTTATTCTAGCCAAGTGCCTGGAAATAGGTGAGGAGCCAGGTGTTGAACCAGGAGAAAGATGTTGAGAGCAGCTAAAATAATTAAAAGATAGTAGAATAATTGACTTACGCACAGTTCAACAAAACATTTATTTAAACTGACAAAACAGGTCAGTAGTAAAAGCTACTTTTAAAAATTACATTTTCCATTAACACATTTGTAAAACAAAAATAATTTTGCATAAATTCTATTTTATTTAATAAAAATAATAAAGAGAATCAACATGATTAGACTTCAGGTGAAAATAATTTGACTTTTTTTTAAAGTATGACATGATTGCCACCTTATGGCCACTTGTGATATTAAAGAGTTGGTATATTTACCTAGGTGAGTTGGAGCCTCTCTGGTCACTCGTCTTGCTGGTATGTGATGAAACCAAATCATCTTCATAAACCGCTGCACTGGCCGGGCTATTTCCACAGTGTGAAGAATTGGCAGGGGGAGAATTTACCTCCGAATTTCTTTCACTCACTGCCGTATAATGTAGAGAGGAGAAAAGTAAGTGGCCACTTCCTCTGTGTGCATGTACCATAATTTGTCAAATGTTAGATCGTCTGAGTAGCTATTTTGGCTAAAATGTTTCAGAAATACTGCATAAACAGTATTAAATGTTTACCAATATGTTTTATTTTATTATGGTGTAAAAAAATATATATCATCAGTTTTGACTTGGATAAATTCACAAATAGTTTTCAGACAACTTATTAATTATTATCCACATCTAATACAACAAAAACTGATGAGCATGAATTTACCTTGAACATGGCCATGGGCATTTTTAGTAAAAATGTTGATTACACTTAGTGGGCTTCCTTTGTTCAACTCTTCCCAGGGCGTTTTGCTGCTGTCAAACGGTGAAAATGGTGAGCACATTGCTGCCTCCCTCTGGAAGTCCAACAGTCTTTGTTTATTTTTTCTTTGACTTGCACAATAGTCCTTTGCCTCCAGGCGATCTGACAGAGGTACAGGATTATCGGAGCAGTGACGAGGGCTTGCTTCATCCTCAGAAAAACTTCCTTCACTTAGAAGTGGACCCTCGCTGATGGAACCAGCACTTGAATCGTGGAGATTAGCCTCACTGTCTTCCTTGTGAGCTTTTGTTTTCAATGCTGCTTTTTCTGTTCTCTCGTTGTTTTCCAACCCTCCAACTATCCTACTTCTTTCTTGAGTGAAACCTTTATAGGCTGGTACATTTAAATCAACAGAAATTTTATGTGGATTGGTGAAACCAGTGTCCCTCTTTTCTTTCTTTTCCTTCAGGTCATGCAGATTGCCTGCTCCTGGGAGTGCTGTGCCCATGTATGAACCTGTACTTGTTAGAACTGCATGCATCTTAGGAGTCATATCCTCATGTTTTGTGGCATTAGTAATTGTTTCTGTCCAGTATTGATCAAGATTAGAAATTCTAGGAGACAATATAGTATCAAAATCCACTGAAGTTGCTGCACCATAGTTGACCTCCTGTATAGCAAACTTCCTTGCCTCCCTCTCAATACGGTTGGAGAGGGATGTAGCTGTGGCTTTTAGAGCCTCAATTCTTGACATTTTGGTCTGTGACCTGCTGTAAGGGGCTGTGGCTGGACGTTCACTGTACTTTATATTACTAGCAGCCACGGCGGCCTCCAGCCTTAAAAGCTGAGACAGGAGATGTTCATTGGAAGGTGCTTGTGTAATGCAGCTGGGACCAGTGGTAGGTTGTACAGGTGGATGGAGACGGTCTGGGTGAAGTAAAGAGTTTACAACATCCAGATCATTCCTGAGAGAGATGGTAAAAATAAAAAAAGGACAGTTTCAAAGTTAGAAAATAATTATGCAAAGGGATTTTGTTAAATTGCAGTTATAATAAATACAGCAATAATTAACATTAAAAGAAATAAACATTTGAAATATGTCTGTCTGTGTGTAATGAATGAATATAATATATAAGTTTCACTTTTTTTAATGGAATTACTTAAATAAATCAACTTTTTCATGATTTTCTAATTTTATGACCAGCACATGAACAATTACTGTAAATGTATTCAAAATATTTGCTACTGAGATAAAAAAAAAATAAAAATCCAAGTAGTTTCATTATTAAGATCCACACATTTCAGAGAGAATTCAAAGACTTTGTGAATAATAAAGCATGAAATTTAAATATTTGACCTGTCATATTTAATTCTCAGTAGTAAAAAAACACAAAATTGTCATTATTTCCACATTTGTAAGAGAAGATGATCTTTGTAATAAAATGGATAGTTAATAACTAATAAAACTAAACTAAAATATTAAGAAGATTACAGCTGTAAACCAGCATATATCTGCTCCCTGCCAATGCATGTGCTAAAAAAAAAAAAAAAAAAAAAAAAAAAAAAAACTCTACTGTCCTTATTGCAGGTCCAGTACTGAGTTTGGACACAAATACATTGTTACTGTAATATTGCAGCTTTTTCACAATTTTTAAAATTATTGATTTCTTTAGCACAAAGTAAAAATAAATTCAAACTCATCTGAGTGATTGTATTAAATACTGGACAACTTTAGATAGCCATTTCAGTATGCATGCCTGCCTGCCTGCCATCCATCCATAATATAGTTTAGTTAATTTCCAGACAGTTATATGTAATATTTAATACATCAAATTTAGAAAAACGGTTTTGTTTGTTGTACATGTTTTTGTTCCTGTATGTTTAAAAGCAGAAAATAACTTCTTCTTTTTAACACACACTTGCAATGCATCTCCATGAAAAATAAAACATCTAAAAACAAGCACCTTCGCTGGTTACGGCGGATGCTTTTGGTGGTTATCTAAAATTCTCATTACAGAAAAGGAAAAAAAAATTGCAGACTTGCAGAATTTTATTTCCGTAAATACACTTAAATGAAATGATCTCAATATTTTGGTCGGTGCTTAAAGGAAATGCATAGGTTTCCATTATTTTTAAGCATATAATACCTGGATAATGGAGGTGGTGGCAGATCATTTAAAGACTTATCGCTACTTGAGGGGCTCTGTGGGACCTCTAGTCGCTTGTTTTCTTTGTCTGACTCTCCTGAAGGCTGGTACGCTGGCCTCTGTTAAAAACAAAACAAACAAAAAACAAAAGTCACATTGTTGGTAGTAAATCCATCTACTCTATGAAACTTTTGTATTGAAAAAATGATGAGCATGTTTCATGAATGGTTATATTACCAGTTGAATGGAAGGTGCAGAAAGTCTCTCTGTCATCTCCTCATTGAGCTGAGTATCTTCCTGTAGTAGTTTGGTGTAGGTCTCCTGTAGTCGCTTTTGGAAAGGGGCCACAAGTGCCTCAGCTGAAAGAGGTATAGTTTTAGCAACTTCTTTTTGCTTCTTGTAAAGCTCCTGAAGCCTCAGATTTCTCCTTTCAGCTTCTTCCTTCATTGCTCTCTTCTCTTCTGCCTGACGCCTCTTTCTTTCCTCTTGTTGCCGTACAATGTACTGTCGAACTGTATCCGGGTCATAGTGACGCCCCTTGTGTCCTTTGTCAACAGTGTTGATGGTATCAGATTGGCGTGTAGTTGGGCTAGCACTTCGGCAACCTCTTGAGGAGGTATTTGCAGCTGCAGTAGTTCCCCAAGTAGAGACTGGTGTCCTTGTTCGTGAACCTGAGCCCCCTCTTCCTCTTCTACTAACACTGCCACCCCGAGATCTTTTACGGGCCCTCTCTTCCTTCTCAGCTACTTCGCAATCCAGCTGAAGGTCATCATATAACCCCCGAGTGTCTGCTGACAGCAGATCTGTGTTGACTCGCAGTGGAGTCTTTTCCTGAGCTGAAGACAACGGCTTGTATGTGGTTGTAGAGTTGCTGATAGGTTGCTCTTTAGGCCTCTCAGTGCTGTTTGGACGAGAGCTTCTGGTTGGTTCTGAACAATGACGGGAATCTGGTAAATATTCAGGAAAACAGAACGTTAGTAGTGGCCATCGCCTTCCCCCTCTCAATATAAAAGGAAAATTGCTAAGAGTTTCTGCTCATTTATTTACAACTAAATATAAGAAAATATTATACACCTATTTTTGAAAACAAAACATTATCTATAACAGATACATTTATATCTGTTGAAAAAAAAAATCCTGGTTGATCTACAAATGACTACTAGACAAGTTAAAAAAAAAACAACTATTGCACAAATACAAATTTTAAAAAAGAGGCGCAGTGGAGGCTTTACAACTTTAATCTAGGTCAAATGGAAGATTCCCATGTACCATCTAATCCAAACACACACACACACACACACACACACACATTAATTTATTTTTTCCCCCTGCAGTAAACTCCTCTGGATACTCCTGACATTACCCATGGTATATGCTACATGCACTTTGAGCATTCTTTGGAGATCAATTTGTGCATTCAGCCTGAAATGGCAGTCAATCTCTATTTGTTCTGGTCAGTAATTCCTCATGTGCAGATATAATCAAGAAAGACAGAGACAGTTATTTTATGGTGAGGCAATATCACTGTGATAAAGTTGTGGAAACTATGAATTATTGATATTTGCCTAATTTACTGTCAGACGTCTGACTGTGTGCTCCCTTCTGACATTTGATCTCACAATATGAACCAATGTGGCAGACTCCAGTTTCAGTTTTGTCTATGCAATTTCATATCAACAGAAATGTTGCTGGATGGACACAAGTGTTTTGGAAAACAAAGGAGGTAAAACTTTGGATTTAAAAATAACTATGAGAGTACTGTATGTAATATTAAAGAAAACACAAAGAGAAACAGGGCTTACACAGCCAATATATTAGAAATATTTAAACAGGTGCAGGGCTCGATGTTTGTATTTGTGATGTGATATTTAATAACTTGACCCAGTTCAATGCATGACTCTCACAAGATTGTACTTTCAAAAGATTACCAAGTTTTCATGTCTTATTAACAAATAACCAATAAGTTTTAAAATATATCGGTTTGCTTCATTAAAAAAAAAATAAAAAAAAATCTTAGTATCAAAATGTATTTCTCAATATGTGCCTTGTGCAGCTGACAACAGCATGAAAAACTAAATCCGAGTACAACGATGACAAAAAATAAAAATAAATGAAAAGTACAATATTAATAAATTTTTTTGTTAACAGTAAACAATATATGCCACAAAATGTCTATGTAGGCTGAAACAGACCAAATGTAGTTTTCTAATTCTACTCATGTTCCTAAAACCTATCTTGTCTAACATTATATTTCTACCACTTCAAAAAGTGCCTCAAGACAGAACATCATGTCCTGGTTTGTTGAGGGGGAGCAGTAAGAGTTCATGTTAATGAGCCCCACCTGTTCGGGTCAGTCTGCCAGCTGGTTGAGAACTGTGCTCCTTTCTGGGAAACCCAGGACCCGGACCCAATACCATCTTTATTAGTTTTTGACCCTCCTTCCAAGATGCAGGGCTAATTACTGGGGAGAAAAAATAAAATAAACTTAAAATGTCACTACTTCAAATTGTCATTACGTATCACAGCTAAAGCATAAATAAACAATTTGGTGAAAATAAAGACACAGATGAGATAATAGTTTCATGTAGATTTGAAAAGCTACTTAATTCAAAATTTATATAATCACAAAAACAAAGCAGGACACAGTGGTGGGATTTCTATCTTTCTGAAATTGCTGTGTGAGAGGAGGATAGCAAAATAAATAAATAAATCAAAAAACAAACAAACAAACTGTTGTTACAGTTGTGCTCTACCAACTTTCCAAAAATATACTTTCTCAGAGCTTCTTTCAATATAAAACAAATGCCTTGTTGTCGTTTAACACAGCAATCTTTTCCTTTATTCATCGACTGAAAGAAACAGCAACATGTTATTTCAAAATATTTAGAGTACATTTCATAAGTACTTCAGAGCCATTCCTGGTAATAAAGCAGTACATAAACAAACCAAGCAGCTGTTTAAGCTAAGCGGATGAGCCAAGTGAACCCAACCAAAGATTTCAGAGGGCTATTTATAGTACCATGCCAACATGAAACAGAAACCAGTCAGACTTGAGAGACAACCTACAAGTTTCGATACAATCCACTAGCCACTCGGCAAAATAAATTCCTCTAAAAACTTGAAAATATAACTATTGGTATAATAAACACGACAGTATTTTTTTTTCATAATTGAACTGAATTGAATTAAGTTGACTATAACTGAATTGCAATTGGACCAGTTACATTTTTATTCTAGATTTATTTTTTTTACGTGACTTTTGCTGGGAATAGGCTCTATATAAATTAATTAACTTGAAATAAACAGAAATCTAAAAGAATCCAAGCAGCCCCCCAACAATCTTTCTTCAAGCGGAAGTGGAGCAGAGCGTTACGTTTATATTGCGTGTGGTTTGGAGTCTGAGCTGAGCTTCTACAATCTTCGCTCCCCGTCCGGAAGTGACGGAGCTGCGTGGGGATGGGGGATTTGGTAGGCGGGGCACTCGGTTCTGTTGACAGGGTGGGGCGCCCTCCTTGAATAATGGTAGGGGAAACACTGAGCTAAATGTGATCCTGAACCATGCTGTGGCCAGGTTCCAGCAGTATTTGGCTGAGACTACAGGGTGAATGTTTGTATGTGACTTGTTGGTTACAAACTGCATGTCTCACATACTGGACATTTCTTCAGGGATTAGAGACTTAACGTTGAGTCATTTGTGAGCACTATCTCTGGTTTATGTGCTGTAGTGTTTAAAGGCCTGTACAGAACATGAAACAAAGGGCCACATTTTTCTAATGTGATTTTGACAATCTTAGAATAACTACTGGTACATCACTGCAGAACATCAAACTCTGATGAATATGTGGTTGAGCTAGTTTATAATCTATAAAACAATTCATTTCAAGCAATAGCCATGCTCTAAATCACAAAATGTAAGGGCTAAAAATGCAACATGTTCAGCCCAAACGATACCTTTTACCATGGCTCAGAGAAGTTAATTCTCAGGAAACATTCCCTAGCCCTGCTCTAATTTACCCAACATAACATGAGAAACTTTAGTCATACTTGACAACTGCACCCCAACTGTGTACATGTGAATAACTGAATATCTATTTCTCTTTTCAATATCTTCATTTGTACATTTCTCTGATGTTAACTGCATTTGAGCATAGTGCTTTTCTTAAGTTAATATATATATTTTTTATTATTGCTCTTTACCTTTTAAATCTTGTCTTGCATGTTTTTATGTTTCATTTGTTGTCCAAGAACTAACACATAAAAAGTCAGCTCGTGTTTAAAACTATGCATTTGACGATGAACTCCTGTGAAATTTTAATTTGAACCTTTTAAGGTAATTTAACTGTTGAGTGTTTTAAAAATGATGATGACCCATGTTTTAACAAACAAAGATAGGTCTGTATAAAATTAGAAGGCATGGATTCAATAACATACAAATAAAAACAGTGAGAAAGTAAACAGTATATCAATTACAAAACTGAAAAAAAAAAATTCCTTCCAAATTGACAAAATTTAATATGTATCGATACCACAAACGTTTGCACAAAATTAAAAAAGATCCAAGGGTTCAGTAGTAGATGACAAATAACACTGACTTAAAGGAGAACAAAAAATAAAAAATAAAAAAAGCAAAGCAAAGTGAAAAAAAAATAAGGCCAAGCAATAAACTTTTTTTTTTTGTATTTGCACTGAACCATGACAAGTTCCTAACAGATGGTTCTACTTACAAACATTAAAATTAGTTTAGCATTTAGGTCTGCTTCTACAAAAAAAAGATTATCATACCTGGTTTTGAATTCCGGTCAGAGACAGGAGGAACTTTATGAACTTTCCTAACTGGTTTGGATGGCCTCTTCTCACTGGATCGTTCTGCTCCTCGTTCTCTTTGCTGCTGATGCTTTGATCGGCTGCTCTCTAAACACAGAGGACAGATGCAGAGAATAATCACAACAAAAATAAACAATGCATATTTGACATATTTAGTACATGTTCTTGGTCAAAGCACTGAAACACAAAAACACCCAAACTAGTCAAACTACTATTCAGTTCCATATTAAAACCCTTTTGTGACAAGAAAAAAACCAAATGCAAGTATGTAGTAATATAAAAGCCAGCAAATACAAAATGGAGAGAATTTTGGTGTCCTAATGCACATTTACCAGGAAAATTATGCGACATGTCTCTGTAGATTTCACTGCTGAAGTTATGGAAGTCCTCCTCATTCCAAACTTTTCCATCAGAAGTCTTGATTTTTGTCTCCGTCCTGTTAAAACCTACAAATACAAAGAAACACAGACTGCATCACATTTCAACACTACAGCTCAAATCTGCATTATTTAAAACATCTGACATACCAGATAGCTTCAACTACAGTGAAAAAAAAAAGAGACTAAAAGTAGAAAAATAGGTCTTGTTCAAAATACCTTTGTATATAGGTGCAGGAGGTCCAGATGTTACTTTACGTATCTTGGCTGTGGGCATTTTGTTGACACCAGGAATGTCACTCTCCACAAATTCAGCAATGGGCTTTTCAAGAAGACACTGCAATTTTTCTCTATCTGCAGCCTCCTCTAGATGCTTCCTTTGCCTTCTAATTCGTGCTTTGAGCTTCTCCAGTTTATCATCCGGCTGATGTCGCTTTAGGTTTTCTAATCTCTGGGAAGCTGAGCCAGGACTGGTAGAAGGAGTGCTCTCCCCTTGGCGGGATGAGCCTGGAGTGGGAGCTACACAAGAGCTTGACTCATCCATACCAAGTTGTATTTTGTGAGCGTTTTCCTCTGTTTTCAGAATATCCAGGGCTGACTGGTCATTGAGGTAGCGTACTTCAGCGCTCTCCAGAGCAGAGGAATGTGTGCTGTCCAGGTTCCTGTCTGTCTGTCTGTCTCTCTGGTAAACCAGCTGGCTGGGCGAAGGATCTGAGTGAGACGGAGAGGATGTGTAGGAAGACCCTGGCACAGATTGCAGATTGTAGGTCTCCAGCTGAGAGAAGGGACGTGAAGGAGGGGTGGACTCTCTGGACATACAGCAGATTACATGGGATCAAGAAAAGGAAAAAGATTTACTCTTAATTCACTGCTCAAACTACAAATGGCTATAGCTGACAGAAAGAGAGAAAACATATGCACTTAACATGTTCACTGTTGAAAATAATGAAAATATCTAACAATCATAAAACAAAGACTTGGAAACTTTTAGTCGACGACAACACAAATTACGCAATACTGTTACTGACCAAGCAAACAGATTATAACTGGCTCTAAACAACACAACAACATATAAAACAGCTATGTGAATTCAGTGGGGGAAAAAAAATCAGTTTTTACAAGAACCACAGATTATTTGTTCCCAATAATAACACTGCAATCTAGCTATATAAAAGGTCAATCAACCAAGTCATAGTTAAGACTGATTATTTAGCATATTAATACCATTGCATTTTCTACTTACCAAAAAGGTAAAGGTTTAATTACAATTCAGAATGTGCTTTCAGCAAATGTTTCTTTGCATACTTTCTGTCTGATATAATTCAGGAAAAAAAAAAAAAGCGTTTAGCCACAAAAACAATGTAATCATATCTTTTTTTGGTATGGTCACTTAAAATGTTTTGTCAATCTTTCTTTGATACTCACAGTGATAGCACAGTTTAGGTTTTCAGTTTCTCTTCGACTGAAGCAAAGCAAACCACTTACAGCAAAATATTCAGACTTCTCACATTATGTAAACCTGCATGAACAGTCTCAACTTATTATCTTAAACTGTAGCAAAGCAATTACCAAAACTTCATGATTACTTCTTACATAGCTTTTTCCCTATTCTATTTTCCTTTCGGCCATACAACCAAACAACAGTCTTATTAAAGTCAACTTTATTCCAAACCTATGTGCAACATAAGGTTTTTGGCTGACATTATTTTTTAAACTGATGAAATGTGTTTGACACCCAACAAGTTTTATGCTTGAAAATTTGGCTGTCAGTTTGATAACGTTAACAAGCACACACACTGTGCAACACACGGGTTCAACTTCATTTCTAATGCTGTAGTAACAGCCACAGTACTACCATTGTGTGATTTTTTTTTGTTCACGTTAAGAGTCATCATTGAGCTTCTAAAAACAATATCACTGGCAAAAACATAAAATAACAATTTAATAATTAGAGATAATATTTGCTGTGCAGCAGTGCTACAACAGAAGGTTTGATGGTGAGGATACACACATGCAGGCACAACAACTGCCCAGAAATGCACACATCCTGCACTCAAGTGAAGCAAAGATAAAAAACTTTCTTAAACTATGTACAGCAAAGTATCCAAAAAAAAGTAAAGACCTTGTGACTGTGTCCCTGACAGTAACTAATAAAGTTTTGTGAACATATTTTTACACAGTATGTGTACCTGTATGAGGCCAGTGGTTCCCTGAACTCCACGCAGCTGTTTTTCCGTACATTGCTGTCCAGGGTGGTGTTTCTCAAAGGGCTGCGTGAGCTTCTTTTCATTGGACTCTGTTGATTTCCACCCGTAGGTTTTGAAGACCCTTCAAGAACATCACCTTGTCCATCTGTGATGGAAAAGATGCTGTTATAATCTTAAGAAGGCAACTTTACCTTGACTGTTATCAGTTATGGAAAAGTAATCAGACATTTTTTGATAAATTAATGTTTAATGGTGTAATTTAAAGAGTTTGGGTTTATATTTTAAGGTAAGTCACCTTTGTTGCGGACTGTTGTGGACAATTTTTTCTTGTGTGGGTCAGAGACAGAATCCAGAAGAACCCCAGTTCCTGGTGTGGCCTCTAAACGGTTTTCTATGTGTCGCAGCTGTAAAATACATACGTCAAACTCTTCTGAATATTTGTAAATATTAAAGCCTGTACTTCTCTGCTTCGATAAAATAAAAACAGTTAAAGAAATAAAAAGTTGACAAAACAAAATGATTCTGCAAAATAATTTTTAGGTTTACTTACAGCAGCTTTTGACTGATCCAAACTTTTCCATGCAGTTTTCAGTTCTTATAAAGAAAAACAAAATACGATAATTCAGAAATCTGATTTAAATATGATAAAGAATCTTATGATCAGTAAACGTCAAATTATTCAAATTATACAGAGTAAAAAATTTTCTTTAAAAATTAAGCAACCCAAACATTAAAAAACATCAAAAACCAAGCTGCAATTTACACACCTGTGCTAATATTGTGATCAGTCAACAGCTGAGCAGAGCTTTTAATAGATGCACTAGTCCTCTTGCTGCTCCTCATCTCTCCCATTCACCTGCAGGTAGAAAATTTAAAGAAAGTATACTAATTGGGAGAATGATGATAAATGTGATGTGATTTCAAAACTGCAAATGACATCTTGAATATACAAAACAAAAAATGCAATGAGTTGTTTTAAGTTTAAGAAAAACAAGCTTTAGAAACAAATGGTGAGCTTCAGCTTTGGTCAATGCACGATATCTTACAAAATCACGAGGTCACCCTAGTAAGCTGAGTCAAAGGCAACTGGACTACTATTTACTCACAGATGATTTGCTTCGCATTCAAGGAACTTCCTCAGTTTTATTGTTATTTTTATAATTTGATTAATCTTTATTTACCAGGTAAATTAACAGAGATCACAAATCTATTTTCAATGGAAGTCTTCTGAGCCTGAAGGCAGCGTAAACAAGAAGGGATTTTTTGGGCTGTGAAAGGAAACTGGAGTACCTGGAGAAAACCCACCCAAACACAAGAAGATTGTGTAAATGCCACAAAAAGCCCAAACCGGGGTTTAAACCAGAAACCTTCTTGCTGTGAGGCTACTGTAATAACCACTAAACCACTGTGCTGCTAATTTAAAATAATTTTTATAGCCCAGTTAATTCTTAACTAAACAAATAAAGCCAATACACCAACAGAGTAATACTACTGCACCCATTCAGCTGCTACACGCTCTCCCGAGTAAAAAACATTTCACACATCAGCAAAGTTATGTTTACTGAAAGCAACACTACCTCTGACATCATGTCTGAGCCAACATTAGTACTGGCACTGGTCAACAGCATAGCTAGAACACTTACTGCTCTGATAACAAAACATCTTGTCACTTAATAAAGCCGTTATTATTAAAATAATAATTCAGCACATTTTTATTTTATTTTGTTATTTTTGGGAATCCCAAAGGCATAACATTCAAACAGTCTAAGGAAACATAAAAAGTAACAAAAATGATTTAGTTTAAACAACTACAGGTATATGCAAAATTTGGAAACCCTTAATCAAACATATTCTGAGTATTTTAGAATGTCAAAATAAGCAAACATGAACTTCCTTTAGTTAAAATGCTGACTGAAAAGTGCTTACACCAGCATTATTTTTCACTTCTCTTTTTGAAACTACATCAACACCACTGTTTAAACTAGATACAAGAGGTTTTCTTTTTCAAAACTTATAATATTCAATTACTGTTAATTGTACGAGTGTAAATGGTGGGTTTGATCCATAAATACAGTAAAGTACTGGATTTTTTTTTCTTTTCCAAAAATAATTTTGTATAGCTGAAACCAACCATTCTATCATTTGGTTGTCAAGTGGAAGAACAAAAGACATTAAAAATAAAACCATCCAAGAGATAAATTATTTAAATGCATATCAAGTACAAAATCCTAACTCCAGTATTGATAGATAACTAAAATCCCTTTAACATATGCGCTTTTCATTTGACTATTGCAGAAGTCTGATTAGGTCAGACCTTCACTTTTAACAGAAATGTGTGAACTGCTACAGCAGATTTAGAACATCCATTGGTTAATTTGACATATCATATGGTATATAGCTGATCAGAAAAACAAGTAAGGCTGAAGGAATAACATTAAAAAAGAAACAGGGATGACCTAAATTTTCTCTTCTAGTACCTAGTTATTTCCCCACATCTAATCAAAATCTAATCTAAATGAACAAGACAAAACACCCATAACTAAACACGAAAAAACTTCCAACCCAACTTGCTCCAAAAAGAGAGTCGGAGGAAATGGTTAATTTCTAAACAAGAGCCGCTCTAACGAAGTGGTTATGAATCGGTATTACTTTGCGTTCCAGGAATTACTCTGCCCATTAAAAGAAACGAACTGCGGTGGTAACGGCGGTGGTTTAGAGTGTAAAATAAAAAGCAAGTTATACGGTGTTCGCAAACTAGAATTAAAGCTGGCTGAACTTATAGCAACTATTTTATTGGCTTCCAATACAACTGCTGTATGTTTAAAAACGTAAGTAAAGATAAAACCAATAGGAACAGCTGACTTCTGATTTATGTCGGCATGTACTTCCAGGAAATAGTCGTAGCCGCTGCCAACTCAATAGATATTACTAACGCTAGATGGCAGAAAAATAACGAACTTAGCTTAGCAACTGTTTGAGAAGACATGTAAGGCTTACCTCTAGGGAAACGATCCAGTATGTTTAAATATCCACATTTGCGTTTACGACGTCATGATAAGAAGAAAGTCCCACCTTCTCTGGAACCCTCCTTCACTTTTGTTGAGTGAACTGTTTGCTAACGTTAGCGTTAGCCGGCTAAGCTTAGCTAACAGATGTTAGCCAAAAGAGAGAAACTAAACTGCCAACTTTTTCCAGCGAAATAAATCCATTGTGTCAGCCTTATCAGGAAACAATAAATCCGGGTGAGCTGTAAGACTTATTTTAAGAACTATTCCCACCCGCTTCTCCAAAGTCTACTTTACTTTCTTCCCGGGTTTCTGTGTTGATGTTTCTCACAGCAGAAAGAGTAACCAGGAGGACGGGTAGGCAACAGAAACTGAAATATCGCGATAGTTTGGTCACGTGATTTGCTGTGTAGCACCATCATGGTTCCACTATGAAAATGGAGTTAATTTGTGTCTTCATTCAAAGTATTTTAACAATAATACTGTAATTGTAATATTGTATTATTGTAGTAGTATTGTTGTATTTTACCTTGTATTATAATGTAGCTTGATTTTATTTTGTTTAATAACACTATTGTTTTTACTTTATTTGCTTTATTATTATTATTTTTACTTTGCATTTTATGTTGTCGGTACCTTATCTGTGGTTTGTCTAAAACAGGTCTCTCTTGAAAATAATTCCTTGTGACTCAGTGAGACTAACCTGTATAAATAAAGGTTGAATAACTTTAACTTTCTCTGGAAACATGTTCAGTTAGGCTTTTTTTCATTCAACCTTTATTTAGACAGGTAAATCCCACTGAGCCTCGAGGACTCATTTACAAAAGAGACCTGGCTTCTAGCTGGACAAAAAAATTAACCTAGAGAGGAATTCACAATCAAGTTGTTAATTATCTGGGCCAACTTATACATTCATAAATGTAAAATCTTAAAGAAAATGCCTAAAATAAAAATCTAGAGAAATGTATGATTAATTTCTGAATTTGGCAGAATTTCACGTAGATAAGTGTATCTTATAAAAAAAAAGGATACGTTTTATTTTTTAAGGGTATAACAAAATCAATAGTATTTACTTTGTTTGATTCTCCACCTATTAAAAAAAACTCACATTATAAGATGCCTGACTTTATGTTGTCCTAATTTGGTTTTATATGCTATTACAAGACACATATTATTTATGTTGCTATATTATTACTTTTGTGTTCATCTTCTGTTTTGTGTGTGTGTCTACAGTATTCCATGCTAAATTATGTTTTTACATCCTTTGTTCTTTACAAACCAGCTGCTCTGTTATGTATGTTGACTCACTCACTTTGCAGTTCAGTATTTGTATTTGTGTTAAAAAAAAACATGCAGGTTTCTGGAAAAATAATAATACTGTATATATACTATAAAAATCAAATCAAATTTCATCTGACACTGTTGTTTTTAGTTAAGTTTTTATTTCATTTTCTTGTATCGAAATCATTCCAAGAACTGCCAACTTAAAGTAGAGCACTGCTTGTTCTTGCAGAAAGATTTGCAACTTTCTTTAATGTCTTTTTCAGAGTCAGAGTCAGAGTTTCTTTATTGTCATTCGCACCTCATGTGGTACATGTGGTGGAATGAAATTATGTACGCAGGGTCCCAGTTACATCCAACAATAAAATGTATAAGAAAAACAGTAATAACATCTAAGATATGAACTAAGAAAAACATCAACTAAATATACACTAAGCACTCATAACATAAAAACATTGAACATCAGCACAAACATGAACATGAGTCTGTGTGAGCGGATGTGCACGCACGAACACATCAACATTGAAACAGATCAGCAGCAACATGAAACGGATCAGCAGCAACATGATATGATTTTCACAGTGAATATTCTAGTTAGAGATTCATGAGTCTAACAGTCTCAGGGTAGAAGCTGTTCCTCAGTCTAGTAGTTCTACACTTAATGCTCCTCAACCTCATTTTTTGTTTCCTGCTTGTTATGTAAAGTTCTTAAAAAAAAAAAAGCTGTGACAATAGAAGAAAAGGTTTACTTAAAGTAAACATTACATCTCCCTAGATGTATGTGAACTAACAGTGAGCATGTTAAGGATGACTAGACTTTATTCAAATAAAAAACGATTATTTCATCAGTGAATAGTTTGCGTCTACTGCCCCCTTGTGGTTTAAATGTGTATCACATAAAAACTACAATTATGTGCACTTAACGCTGCTGCACATAAATTAGCCTTCCAAATATATCCACCATAGCACTCACTAACTATCGTGCTATTTTTTTATTTTTTTATTTTAACCACATATTGTTTTGTCAATGATGTGGACTAAAGCATCCATCTGTAATTTATTTCAGTGGGGAACGTGTCCATTTTGTACATTAAAGACATAGTTGGATGGCAGTATGTGCGCTCACTGATCACAGGTGAGTCATGAATATCTGCACCGCAGTGCAGCAGCGCGGTATGAAGACTGGACTCCTGTTTCCAGCTCATAGATGCTTCTTGAACCGAGCAGAAAAGGCAACAAGTAGGTATAATGTTTCAGGGTAAAAGTGAATTATGCACGCTTTCCCCGTTGATTTTGCTTTCATTTTAACACCAAAGTTGGTCTTTGTGCAAATGAAATCATATTACACGTGCCAGCTCCTTATGCACTCAGTCCTGGAAATAACCTGCTATAACCCCAACTCCCCTCACACACTCCTCCCATCTCTCTCTGAGGACTGGGCAGGGGGAGACGTGGTCGCATCTGCACGCACATTTTCATCTTCTGTGGAAAAGAGAACGAAATGGAAGGAAGTTATTTGTTTTTAGGTAAGAAATGCATGTTTTTTGTTAAGTGTCTCGTTTGCAGTTTTGGGGGAAAAAGCTTTTTTTTTTTTTTTTTTTTTTTCATAACCTTGTTTCTGTAGCCAGATTAGCAGGGTTTTAAGTATTTTATTTTATTTAATATATTTGCACAACACAAAAACGTTACAATTTTCTGCTGTTTTAATCAAGTTTTCATATTCAGGTTGATGGAATAGGTGTCACTGTATAACCAGGGTTTAATCAGGGTCTAGTTATTAATACTCAATTTGTCAGTTTGGGAGAAGAAATTACTCAGTCCAAGTATTAGAGCCCAGGAAAGGCTGACTAATCCAAGGAGAGAGGTAATTAAAAGACCAAGAAGAGAAAGACTTGATTTATTTCAGCAAGGGGAGAAAGTCTAACAAGTTATTGATGAAGGTTTAAATTGCTTAAACGTGATTCTCTTGTATTGACGAGTTTCTCCTCTATATCCTTTACCTTTTTAAATCTAAGATCAGGTAAACTGATTAATGAAAACCCATCAATCAATTTTCTCCTGTCAGTCTGACATTAAAGGAAGAGGCAGCTGAATGATCAGTGTTTGAGAAGACAAGCTGCTACAGGCAAACTCTGACTTCAATACTTCTCTTATTGTCTTCTTGGGGAGTTTTAAAATAGTTGTCCTTCATTAAAAATCTTTTGCTAGATTTAATTAAGTGTTTTTTTAGGCAAAGCAATGAGAGAAAACGAGCTTTGTCCAGGATTGATCCCTCTTCTCTGGACTGTCTTGTTAATTATTTAATCATGCTAACACTTGCCACCCCTCCAGTCTCTTTATTTCCTGTTTTATTAATTGTTTCTTGTTGAGTGCGCTGATTGGCCAGGGTAAATAACGCCAGTCCGCTTGGCAGGGGTGTAAATTGGTTTTCAGGGTGTATTAATTAGTGCTTCTGTTCCGCAGAAACTGAACTTAACTAAACCTCTTGAACTGTTTCTCGGCTTCAACAACAAGCTTTATGTTTGTTTGACCATCTGCTGCTGGCAGATAAAGCCTCTGATTGATTTGTCTTTTGAAACAAGGACAATGTTCTTCATACATGCGTTTGTAACGGTAATTGTTTTTCATGCTGACATTGTTAGTGATATTTGCAAAGTGAAGGGTGTCCACAACCTGGAGAACTGAAGAAAAACTAAGATTTCAGTTAGAACCACCTTAGTGTGAGGTCCTGTTTCAAAGTGTGAAACATCAGTCTGTTCACACAGGTCTAAGAAGGTTAGTTCATTCGTAAAGGAAATGAAAAGAGTGTAATTTGAACTGTGGGACCAGGATCTGTTTTCAGGCTTTCTTTGGTCTAAAGCAGTAATCATCACCCGTTGGCCCGGGGGACACATCTGGTTCGAGAGCTCATTCCATTTAGCATGACAAGTATTAAAAATAATAAATTAAACATATTTCAATGCTGAAATCCATTTAGTTCATCAAAGAATGTAATCAGAGCGGACTCGGACACACAACAGAAAAACCCATTCCTGAGCATATCAGGTTCTTCTGCAAGATGTAAGATGCTGTGATAAATGAGAGTTCTGGGTTCAAATCCAGAGTTTTTCAGGTCAATTTTACATCTGATTATATTTTTTTCATTCATTCATTCATTCAACCTTTGTTTAGACAGGTTAATCCCATTGAGCCTCGAGGACTCATTCACAAGAGAGTCCTGATTTCAATAAAGAATGATGACAACAGTGGACAACAGCAACAACAGCAGACAATTAGAAAAAGGCATACAGATTTTTATTTTTTTTATTTTTTACAAATAAGATGGCAAAAATGTAACAAAAACAGCTAGATTATAAGCCAAATGTAGAAAACTAAAAACATGAACATGTCTGCATTGGTCCCTGCCAGGAGTCCAACAGATTCTTAAAGCCACTTAGAGAGGTCAAGGTCGAGAGCTTCAAATGTTTTTGTAAGATATTCCAGGAAACAGGAGCTGAGTAGGAAAAGGTTCTTTTGTCAAGTTCAGTCTGCACTGAGGGAACACTGCAGGTAATAATGTCCTGAGAGCGCACGCTGTAGCTGCACTCATGCAGAGACATGTAGGAGGAGATGTATGAAGGCAGCAGACCAAGAAGTGATTTAAAGATGAAAATGAACCACTGGGAGAGTCTGTGTGAAGTTAATGATGACCAGTTAACCAGTGAATACAGGGTGCAGTGGTGGGTACGATAATCACAGCCAGTTATGAATCTTAGTGCACCATGATAGACAGCATCCAACATCTGCAGGGTTCTTGTAGGAGCGTTCATGTAAATAACGTCACCGTAATGGAGGGAAGGAAAGTCACAGATACAAGGCATTTCCTAGCATTCAGAGTTAGACAGGATCTGTTTCTGAAAAAAAAAAAAAACAGTTTAACTTTCAGTTTCTTTACTAGGTTTTAAATGCAAACATGAAGTTTTCTGTGAGGTTATTTTGCAGTTGGAGCAGGAGTTAGCTGCAGATTTTAACAGTTAACATGTTTTTCTGTTTAGCTGACTTCAAGTAAAACAAATCATGGAATCAGGT